TTGGTCAAAACAAAAACTCATAACGCGATCAAAAAAAGAGGGCCAAATCGAAAGTGATTTCGGAACTACTAACTGAAATATTGGAATGACTCATTGAATTTTTGGTTTTGATGATGCGTCGTTTGTTGTTTCTCTTCATCGAAACTACCAATTGTTGTCAGGTTTGGATGGGGGTATGCAAAACCAGATATTTACTAGGAGTTTTAATTTATAAAGAAGTGTCAAAATCGAAGTGACGCGATTTAAAAATTAACAAATCAATATGAAAATTAAATAACCAACATGAATATGAAATCACAAATTGTTTCTATAATTTATAGAAAAAATGTGTGATTCGAAACTAAAAAAAAAATTGAAAGAACTACTGGTGTTGGTGTGGAGTAAAAAAAATTATATTTAAATATTGTCCAATACGCAATATTATCCAAGTCTATCGATCTATATACAATTTAGAGACAGTTTGAAAATATTGGTTTTTATTAGGTTTTAATGACATAGAATGACATTTTTATAATTTCTTTTTTAAATCGATCATCATGTAGACAGACATGTATGCTTATTCGTTGTCCGGATTCTAAAAATTCGTTGATAGGAGTGATCTATAGAGCGATTCGAAAAATAGAAAATAATAACGATTTTGGTCCATTTAATCCCATATTCTAATATTAACTGATCATGAACCAAAACTATTGCCAACATTCGTAAAATGTATTCAAAACGTTCATACATTTTATTATGACCAGTGGAATATTTGAAAGTGCGATAATGTTAATATTAATACTGAACTGGTATCAATTTAAAGGTCAATAACTCCTTTACGATATGATGGGAACTTATGCGAATTATGTCCTTGCGGAGTAAATGTATACACTAAAATTTGCCAATGTTGTAATTTTCCACACAAAAGTCTTTGGTCTATTTGATCTGCGAAATAATGACAGCATATCATAAAAAAGCTATAGTTATTCCCTACTTCGGGAAAAATTTAGTAATTTCCGAAACATAATTGTGGCTTCCAGAGCGACTAAAAAAATAGAACAGTAATGTTATTGTATCGATAGTTACCAAAAATTAATAGGTTTTGTCGGATGGATGGACACACATAGCAATTTCGACTCAGCTAGTCAAGATATGATGATCGGTATTCTAAAAGAATGGCTCACCAATTTATATTATCCTCCTCTCTAAAACTTATTTACTTAGCTGTTGGGTGACCAGAACGGTTGGGTGTTCCATAAGCCAAGCTTAAAAAAATATTTCCAAGCTCGTAGATTTTGTGCGCAGCTCATCCAATTTGAAAGATCATGTTCCGAGATGTTGTATTCTTCTTGATCATTCCATCGAAATCGTGTTGTATTCTTCTTGATCTTTCCATCGAAATCGTGGCCTTCCCCTACTGCGTGAACCATCACTTGGCTCGCTTTTATAGCCTTTGGAGCTGGGGCATCCTCATCCATTCTCACAACATGACCTAGTCAACGTAGTCGTTGCAGTTCGATCCGTCTGACTAAGTCGATGTCCGAGAATAGATGGTTAATTCGACGGCCATATTCACCATCGGCCTATAGATCTTCCGGAGATTTTTTCTCTTAAACACTCCAAGAGCTGCCTCATCTGCTTGCGTAAGTACCCATGCTTCTGATCCATACAACAGCACGGGTAGTGTCAGCGTCTTGTAGAGTGACCACACCAAACTCATCCGTCGAGAGGTGGCCTTATATCTAAAGTGCTTACTCCGACCATGGTAGCATCTGTCGGCCAACACTATTCGTCTTCGGATTTCGAAGCTGATGTTAGTTTTATTTATGGCGGTACCGAGGTATAAAAAATCGTTGACTACCTCGAAGTTGTAGTTTTCAAGTTCCACAGTTGATCCGAGTCTACGGGACATCTTGCGCGTTGATACCATCACCTTGATATTCTCACCACTGTCCCACTTTGGCAGACTCATTCTCAATTCGTGCAAAGGTGGCTGTTACCAATCATTATGTTCGACCAATTATATTGATGTCGTTGGCGTAGGCGAGTAAGCTCTTTGGTGTACAGAGTACCATTTCTGTTCACCTTTGCCTCTTGTATGACCTTTTCCAGCAGGATGTTACAAAGGTCACACTACAAACTGTTAACTTGTCTTAATACTCATTAGGTATTGGAGGACACCGATAGGTCCTTTCCAACTTTCACTGCTGCTGGCATAGGGGATGATAGATACCAAGCAACGTCTAATATTGGCTTAAACATGGCGAAGCCCAGGCTTATCTTGGTCCCTCTTTCATCTCAATCGTGGACACTGACCTCCCCGGGTTGTCACCGGGGTAATTATTTTTATCACCCGTTGAAATAGTGAGCTTATATGTGCCGCGAGTTCACCCATAAGAACTATTAAAAAATGGGTTGAAGCGTCGGGTTAGTTGCCCACACTCGGAAAAAATTAATACTATGAAAAAGCAACGACAAACTGTCACCTTGTCTGAATCCTCGTTCGTCTTTGACTGCTGACCTTGCGCCAGTTAAAGTTACCTTACATAGTCGTATTAATTTTGCTGGAATGTATGCTGGATACGCATACATTACTTTAAATACCTCTAAGCGGATTGGGCTGTCGAATGCGGATTTATAGTCGACGAATAGGAGGAATGTGTCGATGTGCTTTTGGTGGGTCTTATCTAGGATTTGGGGCAGTGGGAAATCTGGTCTATGGTGAATTTGCCAGGTCTGAATCCGCATTGGTATGGTCCAATAATGACATTGACCATTGGCTGAAGTGGTTCACACAGCACGCTGAATGGCACTTTATGTGCGATCAGAAGGAGACTAATTCCTCTATAGTTTGTGCACGAGACACGGGATGCTCAGGTTCCCAAGAGTTTACATTACAAAAATATATGTAATGTCATATAGGCCCCTTTTTGGCACCCTTTAAGAGATTAGATCATTTTTCCAGATATTTGAAACCTCCAGTAAAATTGAATAATAGAGTCGTGAAGTTTAAAATACTATTTTTACTATTCAAAATTAGCGACATTGGACACCGCCGATAATTTTTGAAGTTCCGAGTTTCGATGAAGGGCCAACAGGCCTTAAGGCGTGGATTTTTAAAGAATATTTTTTGAAGGACAAGGCGTGGATTTTTAAAGAATATTTTTTGAAGGACAAGGCGTGGATTTTTAAAGAATATTTTTTGAAGGACAAGGCGTGGATTTTAAAGAATATTTTTTGAAGGACAAGGCGTGGATTTTTAAAGAATATTTTTTGAAGGACAAGGCGTGGACTTTTAAAGAATATTTTTTGAAGGACAAGGCGTGGATTTTTAAAGAATATTTTTTGAAGGACAAGGCGTGGATTTTTTTGGGACATTTTTTGAAGGACTAGGGTAGATTTTTTAGGATTTTTTTTCACAACAGTCCTTAAGTCGTGGATTTTTAAAGATTATTTTTTGAAGGGCCAACAAACCTTTGGGTGTGGATTTTTAAAGAATATTTTTTGAAGGATCAACAGGTCTTTAGGCGTGGATTTTTAAAGAATATTTTTTGAAGGTCCAACAGACCTTTGAAGGACCAACAGGCCTTTAAGCGTGGATTTTTAAAGAATATTTTTTGAAGGTCCAAAAGACCTTTGAAGGGCCAACAAACCTTTGGGTGTGGATTTTTAAAGAATATTTTTTGAAGGACCAACTGGCCTTTAGGCGTGGATTTTTAAAGAATGTTTTCTGAAGGACCAACAGACCTTTAGGCGTGGATTTTTAAAGAATGTTTTTGAAGGACCAACAGACCTTTAGGCGTGGATTTTTAAAGAATATTTTTGAAAGAGCAACAGGTCTTTAGGCGTGGATTTTTTAAGAATATTTTTTGAAGGACCAACTGACCTTTAGGCGTGGATTTTTAAGAATATTTTTTGAAAGAGCTGCAGACCTTAAGTCGAGTATTTTTTAAGATTTTTTTTGAAGAACCAACAGACCTTTGGGCGTGGATTTTTAAAGAATATTTTTTGAAGAACCAACAGACCTTTGGGCGTGGATTTTTAAAGAATATTTTTTGAAGAACCAACAGACCTTTGGGCGTGGATTTTTAAAGAATATTTTTTGAAGAACCAACAGACCTTTGGGTGTGGATTTTTAAAGAATATTTTTTGAAGAACCAACAGACCTTTGGGCGTGGATTTTTAAAGAATATTTTTTGAAGAACCAACAGACCTTTGGGCGTGGATTTTTAAAGAATATTTTTTGAAGAACCAACAGACCTTTGGGCGTGGATTTTTAAAGAATATTTTTTGAAGAACCAACAGACCTTTGGGCGTGGATTTTTAAAGAATATTTTTTGAAGCATTAAATTTTGAACAGATTGGACTCCTTTGTGGAGGAACTTTATGAGTCATTCTAAAAACACAGTTCCGGGAACAAAGTGTATTTAGAAGCCCTCTTTGAATAAAGTCATCATCTTCATTTTAATTTGAGAGAAATGCTTGGATGGCTAAAGATTTGATCATTAGGAAAATTCATATGGTTTTCTTTTTCTTTTTAATGTTGACCTTTGTATGTACTGAATTCAAAATTGTATAGAATTATTATGTAAAAACTTCTGACTAGAATTACTTTAATAATTATGTCTTTTTTTATCACATAGCAGTGCAAGTGTAGTTGTGCGTGTGTTTCATACTAAAAATTAGCAATCACTTCAAGAATTCCAAATCATAAATGGTACTCGTACCCCAAAATAGCCGAGATTAGAAAAAACAAAAAATATTTCCAAGAACAAAAAAAGGAAGACAACAACAATAAATAAACAAAAATTCTTTAAAAATAGCAACAATAAAATAAACTACAAAAATAAATTAAAATAAAATACTAAATTCCCAGAAACAAAATTGAAAAAAAGAACAAAAGTCCCCCGGAATACAACAACAACAACAATTCATAAGATTAATAAAAAAATTATTGTGTGTCGAAAAAAGAACGCTAAACCGCCAAAATAGCTCCCCGAAATTCAGTATACCCCTTGCGAATGCATTTAACATCATTGGCGACCGGTGGTAGTCAACAGGTCGCCGCAACAGCTTACACAGCAACAGCATCCAGTTTATCCTCATCATCGTCGTCGTCCCTAGCGGCGGCTGTTGCCACAGCACCACTTTTGTTAAGCGGCAGTGGTGGTGGTAGCATCATTGAATCAGCTGCCGGTGCTACCACCAATATTTCACCCTTGGATAATATCACTGGCAACATGGTGATTTCTTCAGTATCTCCTGGCACGGCGACAACAACATTGCTCCAGCAACAACAATTGCAACACCCACACCACCACCATCATCATCACAATCATCTGCACCATTCGCATCATCATCACTCGCATTCGCACAGTGTTCAAGGACATACGCAGCACAACAATAACAACAATCATCATAGCCACCATACCACCCACCACCAACACCCGCCGCCTCATAGCCATAGTGGCCACACATCTTTGGGTCATTCTGCAGCAACGCACACACTTTGGAATTCCGAAGGTCCAGCATCAATGGCATCGGACACCATAGTGGCCAGTAGTTCAGCCAGTGTGGGCAGTAATTCGCCAAATGGTGCGGCCAGTAATGGTACGGCGAATAGTAATACCAGCAATAGTACGGCGGCAAATACAACAACATCAGCAGCAGCGACAACAAATGGCAACAACAATGCGAATAGTAATGGCAACAATAATTCGGGAAGTAGCAGCGGTAACAACAATAATAACAATGTTTTACATCAAGATTTGGCCTGGTTGGAGAGATCTATTTTGCAGGCCCATCAACAGTTTCCAAATGAGTTGGGTAAGTATCATTTTATTTCTTATTTTTTCGATAGTAAGGAATACGATCCCCTCCTAAGCCTTCAAAAAATTGTTGAATCAATATGTTAACAACACCTAGGCAGAATTAGGTTTTGATGGTGGGACATAGGGATAGTTTAAACTTATATATAAATGTTATAATTCCCTTGGCAATACCTCAAAATATTCGTCGGATTTTACATTAAATGAGTCGTTAATTTTGAAAGTGGTTTAGGTCCACTTTAGGCTCTGATACAAATCGTGGTTTTCTAGAAAATTTTCTAAAATTATCAACTGTATCCGTGTGAATACGATTCAATCCTCCTTGATAGGCCTGTTGATCTAGATATTTTGTACCTTTGGACCTTTCTGTCCATATCATGAAGATCCTTACTGACATGTCCAGGTGGTGGGTGCCTATCCATAAGGTGATGATTTGGATGGCTACTTCTATAACACCCAAACTGGTATTGCATCGACAACACCTGGTTGTGCTGGTGCACAGGAATGATCTTCGTGTGCTCATGTAAGTGGTCTATAGGAGTTATGAAAAGAAACCCTGTTGCAGTCCTCATTACGGTATTCTGACAGGATTTAAGATTTTTCCATTGCGTTGCACAAACGTTGCCGGACCACATTGGTGCCGCATAGTTCACCACATACCGGCTAGCCACTTGAGAACCTTGTTCCTGCTCCGGATTTTATCGCAAATAGCAGAGGTACGCGCGGACGACTTATAGAGGCTATCGAATGTGACCCCTAGAACTTGGCAGATTCAAAGGTAGCCGAATCTCCGGTGTCCATGTGGTAAACAGTGTGGCCGTTGATATAGTGGCGGATATTTCCATATCGCCCGGGAAAAGTCCGCTATATCCACGAGATAGTCGTCCAGCCTCTTGCAAATGTTATCAATTATCCGCGTACGTTACGATCTTTATGCTATCCGGTAGGCGTGGAACTCTCTTATGACCTTCATATTTAACTCTACAGGCCTCGACTTCCTATTTCTGAATTCCATGTACGACAGGCGTCCACACGTACAATTCACGATCCAACGTTTCAAACTTGGCTGGAGGGTTGTTCCCTCGATGTCCTCAAACAGCTTGGCGTGACTGACAGTATCGAATTCCTTCGATAGGCCCTGCGCCGTTATAACTGTCCTTTTACACGACCTGTTCTGGTTGAGTCCTTCCGTTATATGCAAGGAAATGGCGTGCAAAGCTGTTGCTGTGCTGTGCTGATTCCGGAATCTATGTTGATGATCAGCAATTGAGTAGCATTACAAATGCCTCAAGTGTCTTAGCTACTGGCGACAAAAATGAGATCGGCCTGTAGGACTCACATTTGCTGGCATCCTTGTTTGCTCATTTTCAGGCATCGGAAACTATTAGGGTGGCTAACGACAAGTTGATGACTTTAATTAGATACTCTACTGGTGGCTCATGAAGCTGTTACAACATTACCATTGAGATTCCATCCGTACCAAGCAGTTTGGATGATTTTGCGCTTCTGATGGCACTAGCAACATCCTCCAATGTAAATTGTGGTGATTCCTCCTCCTCGAGAAGAGATCGTATACGGCGCAATACTATACTCTTCGCCCAGTCACTCTCGGGGCGCTCTTCTAACACCTCTTCGGATCTGTTACCTCAACGTCGTTAAATGAGGCACACGTCCGATAATCCTTCCTTCCTGGGTTCGAGAGCGACATAACCGTTGTCTACTCGTGGAGGGGGGTGGTATCGGGTGGTTTGTTGATGGATATGATAATAGGGAGCTTTATGGTGAATTTTATTAAGATCAGCTCCACCAACTTTAAATTTATTAGGAGAAATTTCTTTAATTAATATAATTGTTCGTTGATCCTGAGTTACTATGTTAATATTATCGTTATTGTCATTTTTTAGAGCTTCTTATACATTATATTTATATGCTTAAACTGACCGGTTGTCAAACCACCTCATTTGTCAGACCTGAAGAGCTTTGGCAGACTCCTCTGGTCATGTCCGTAATCCGTGTTTTTTGAGTGAGAAAAACATTTTTACTGAACGTTTCATGCAAACTTTCACAGGACATTTTCAACCATATATTTCATACCATATGTTGAAAGTTCTAGTCGAATTCATCATAATATTTTTTACCAAGCCTATGTATAGACCGAAGGTGGAACCCATTGGTCCACTCACAAATTTGCGAAAAATTATAAATTTAATAAATCAAATTGTTCCACATCGACAATGGATAGTGTTTCCGGAGACATCCACAGCCAATAATTATGAGCTATAGAAATAAAATGTTGATTGTAGTGGGATTACAAAATTGAGTTTCTTCTTTTCGAAAATTTTCAAAACAAGGATTTTTTTGAACACAATTCTCCTCTATCATCAACATAGTTTACTTTCATGATTTTGAATAACCCTTGTCGATACCAACTGAAATTGATATTTTTTATTGTTGTTACCTGTAGATCAGAGATCAGAATATGAATGAAGCACATCCTCATCCAATATTTATAATAATAATAACAAAAAAAAAATATTGTTATTGATACTCGTGCTGAAATTTGAAGCACATATTTTGTTGAATGAAAGTTATTTCGTGTCAGTGTCCTTTGCATGCTGTTCTTCATTCTTGCTTCAGAGTTGATGATGTTTTTGAACGCGTGTGAAAGGATTTTTTTTTTCTACTTTAGAGAAGCCTTATAAAGTGATTTTGAGTATCATTGATATTTGTGCAATTTTTTTTTTTGACACTCATATATCAAGAAGTTAGGTGAGCACATTTTTGGCATGCGTTGGTTTCAACTTACAGTTTATGAATATTGAAAAAATACTGATTTTTTTAATGAAGTTATTTTTTTGGTGTCGATTACATTAAAGAGTGACGGACTTCATCGGTGCTTGAGAGACTCACAAAGTAATGCACTGATTTTGTGTTATAAATTCAATAAATCTGACTAAAAATATCTAAAACTTTAGGCAAATCTATTTTCTATTAAACCAAGAACTCCATAGAACCAAGAACGCCATAGAACCAAGAACACCATAGAAACAAATTTTAAAATCAGACCACATTTTGGTACAATTATTTTAGATAAATGAAAATATCAAACCACTAAATAAATTTATTTATTGAAGAACCGGCTCAAGGACCCACCAGTATTATTTTATTTTTAAACTATTTCATTTAGAGGTTTTCTTAATAAAACGATTTTTTGGAAAGAAAGTGGTTTTCAAATTGTTTGTCCAAAATAGAAAAAAACCTCAAAAATTATTCCATTTCTCCGAATAGTTCTATGCCTTGAAAAAGATTTTCTGATTAGGATTCAATTTTTTGGAATGGAAGTGGTAAATGACAGCATATAAAACCATATATTTTATCGTACTTGTGGCTTTCTATTTTCATTTTCTATACCAAAATGTTATTATTATAAAAAAATAATAAATTTGTTTTTGGTTACAGTCTGTGGTCAATTGGTGTGGGGATCATTTTTTTTTTAAGATTTGATAAGCTGAACTGCATTTTGATAATTAAAGTTGTTACAATATCAATTTATTTTTTAAATTGAAATAAAAAATAATTGGTACTTGGAAAGATATATTTTCTTTAAATTCAGGCCTCATTGGTCCCAGAAAATATATTTATGAAAGGCTGAGGGTATCAAAACCCGGACCTTATAGTCGGACCACGGAACTCTAACTTTCTGCGGTTCTATATTCTGAAACTGGGCAATATTTCTTGATATTTGCACCCTCTTGATCGATTATAGACGTTCTCACTTTCTAACCCTGGCATATTTTCCATTTTTTCTTGAAGTGAATTTTTACGCCATAAAATAAAAAGCTGGTCACTTCTGGTTTTGGTTGATTTGATCCTCGGAATATTGATCGATCATCGTCTAAACAGCCGCCCTAAGTATTTGGTCACATCCCCTTCACCTTGTAAAATATAATAATTGCCTCTAGAGCGACTAGAAAATCTGAAAAAATTAAAGTTTTTCGTTCATTGCAGCCCTTGAATGAAATCTCAATTTCACCGAAAACTATAGGCGTCGTCCTTGACCATAATCGGAACTTCCTTTACAATTTCAAAGCGATCAGCGCGACATTTCCTTTAATGGAGTAATAGTAATAATCCTTCCTTTAATGGAGTAATAGTAATAATATGCACATAGTCACATTTACCTTATTATGTATAACTCCCATATCTGAGCACATCCGACATAATGTCAAGATCGATTCAGCTATTCGAGATATGACGATCGGTATACTACATACCCTACACAACAATGTTGTCAGGGTATTATAGCTTTGTGCAGCCCCAAGAGTTTGTAACGCCGCGAAATATTGGTCCCAGATCCACCTTTAAGTATACCGATCGTCATATCTCGACTAGCTGAGTCGATCTAGACATGTGCGTCCGTCCGTCCGTTCGTCTGTCCATTATAATTTGTAAATACGATACAGACCACGGTTGTGAACCAATCTTCACGAAATTTTGCATGTAGGATGGGTTCTGCCCAATGAAGACCTCTATTGTTTTTGGTAATGATCGGTTCATGTTTTCTGGTCGCTCTAGGGGCCGCAATTATGGCCCATTTTTACAAGGAGAAGGGGATTGGGCCAAAGAATAAGCATGCCTGTTGTGATAAATATCGGTCAATATTTAGCGGGTCAAATGGACCCTGACCTTTGTGTGAAAAATTACAAAATTTGTATTCTTTAGCGTACTCCTGAAGTTGATAGCATATCCAAGAGGAGTGGTAGACCTTCAAATTGATACCAATTATATTGTCGTATATACTCGGATGTGGGAGTTACACGTAAACATTTACAGGTGCATACGTATTCAGATATTATATAATAAACCATTACCACACTAGAGGGCGAAAATATAGCGCATATCGCCTTGAAATGTTCCATGAGGTTCCAGTTATGGTCAAGGACAACGCCTATAATTTTCGGTGATGATGAGATAATAATTTTAGGATGAAGTGGACCGAAAACGTATTTCTTTGTGTTTTTTCGATTCGATCTATAGGCCACAATTATAAGCCGAACATCACAACACAACCTACGGTGAAGGGAATGTGAACAAGTAATTAGAAGAGCTGTACTGAATATTGGTAATATTCGGAAAATATCTCAGTGTAATGAAGAGGTGCTGTTGACCTCTAATCGACCAAGAGGATGCAACTAACAGGAAATATTACCCAGACTCGGAATAACATTTCGCGGAAGATAGAGATATGTGGTAGTTGTGTAGGGTATCGTATGATCGGCCCCGTCCGACTATACTGCTTAGGCGTAGATTTATTAAAAATATTTTTTTCAAGGCGTAGTTTTATTAAAAATATTTTTTCCAAGGCGTAGTTTTATTAAAAATATTTTTTTCAAGTGTAGATTTATTAAAAATATTTTTTTTCAAGCGTTGATTTATTAAAAATATTTTTTTTTTCAAGCGTAGATTTATTAAAAATATTTTTTTCAAGGCGTATTTTTCCAAAAATATTTTTGAAGTATTTAAAAACCTGCGCCAAAGTCTACGACTTTTTTTTAAATATTTTATTCAAGGCGTAGATTTTTTAAAAATATATTTTCCTAGCGTAGATTTTTTAAAAATATTTTTTTCAATGCGTAGATTTTTTTTTTAAATATTTTTTTCAAGGCGTAGATTTTTTAAAAATATTTTTTTCAAAGCGTAGATTTTTTAAATACATATTTTTCTAGGCGTAGATTTTTTAAAAATATATTTTTCAAGCGTAGATTTTTTAAATACATATTTTTCTAGGCGTAGATTTTTTAAAAATATTTTTTTCAAGCGTAGATTTTTTAAAAATATTTTTTTCAAGGCATAGATTTTTTAAAAATATTTTTTTCAAGGCGTAGATTTAAAAAAAAAAATGTTCAAGACGTATTTTTTGCAAAAATATTTTTTTCAAGGCGTATTTTTTAAAAAAATTTTTTTTCAAGGCGTAGATTTAAAAAAAAAAAAAAATCAAGGCGTTTTTTTTGCAAAAATATATTTTTCAAGTCGTATTTTTTGCAAAAATATTTTTTTCAAGGCGTATTTTTTGCAAAAATATTTTTTTCAAGGCTTATTTTTTGCAAAAATATTTTTTTCAAGGCGTATTTTTTCAAAAATATTTATTTTAATTTTTTAATTTCCTCTCTTCCATTTTTTTTAGTGCGCACCAGCAATCCATATTTCCTCTGTTCCGCCTTGCCCACACATTGGCGTTCAAATAAAACCCTGCCGATTGCCTTTAAAGTTGTGGCCCTGGTCGATGTGGGAGATGGTACCAGTGTTTATATCCGTGCCGGCAACGATGAGAATTGTTGTGCCGAATTGAGAAATGATCGGGCAACAATGAAAGATCAAGTGGCCAAATTTAATGATCTGCGTTTTGTGGGACGTAGTGGAAGGGGTAAGTAGTATATTTTTATAAACATTGTATTTATGAATGAAATTTGCTTTCACACATTTCCAATGTACGATTTTGAGATTTTGGGCTTTACGTCCGATTGATTGTGCTGTAAGGCAACGATCACCTCAGAAGTTCACTCACAGAAGTCGTCACATTAACCTTTGACGTTTTATGTTTGTAAGAATGGCCTAAGGTCAGCATGCAACAGAAGCATGATGAGGAGGATGATGATACTGACTGACGATGACGACTACCTGCTGTATGACTGCACCATGTCCAATGGTGGTTACAGTACAGCGCTTCCAAATTTGTTTTCTGGCCGAAAAAAAAAGAAATGAAACGAAAGGCAGGCATCACAAAGTGTTTGCATTCGTGCTTCCTTAATTTGCAACAACTGACATCCTTTTCGGACTTTTGGTGTGTCGTGCCTCACTTGCAGTGTGTCGGCCATTCAAATGCCCAAATGCAGCGGCAGAGAGTGAGCGAGTGGCAACAACAAAAAATGTACTTGTTGCCAGCAAATGCCAACAATTTATGAAAAGGAAGTCTTTGGCCTAATAAAAGTCCTTCGTCACACGTTTCAATGTCTAGCTGTTGGCAATCGACATGAATGATCATTCATGATCATGTCTTGTGTTGTATTGATATTTGCTGTTTATTTTTTTCTTTTGAGTTCTAAATTCTTTTGCTGACACGCAATCCGCAATTTGTTTGCCAGACTTTAGTTTTGTTTTGGCTAATAATCGATTGGGTTTCTGCTCTACTAACGAGCTGTATGTTCGAGGGGTTTCTTATTCTTCTTTGGGAGTAATTAACTCACTGAGTAACTAGGATACGTGTTTTGCAGACCAGGTAGAAAGAGTGCACCAATCTAGCAAATTATGTGTCATATGTTTCTAGGGCAATTAGACGACGTGCTAAGTTCGATTTACATCATGTGGTCTACGACTATTAAGACGAACGTTCCACTAAGAAGGATATTATTTTAAAAATATTTCTTTGAAGGCGTAGATTTTTTTAAAATATTTTTTTCAAGGCGTAGATTTTAAAAAAATATTTTTAAGGCCTAGATTTTTTAAAAATATTTTTTTCAAGGCGTAGATTTTTCTAAAAATATTTTTTTCAAGGCGTAGATTTTTTTAAATATTTTTTTCAAGGCGTAGGTTTTTTTAAATATTTTTTTCAAGGCGTAGATTTTTTAACATAATTTTTTTCAAGGCATAGAGTTTTTTAACTTATTTTTTTCAAGTCGTAGATTTTTTAAAAAAATACTTTTTTCAAGGCTTAGATTTTTCTAAAAAAATTTTTAAGGCGTAGATTTTTCTGAAAATATTTTTTTCAAGTAGTAGATTTTAAATTTTTTTTTTTTAAGGCAAAGATTTTTAAAAAATATTTTTTCAAGGCAAACATTTTTTAAACAATTTTTTTTTTATCAAGGCGTAGATATTTTAAAAATATTTTTTTCAAGGCGTAGATTTTCTAAAAATAATTTTTTTCAAGGCGTAGATTTTCTAAAAATAATTTTTTTTCAAGGCGTAGAAAGTTATATCCTACACAACTATGCTGCCAGGGTATTATAGGTTTGTGCAGCCCCAAAATTTGTAACGCCGCGAAATATTCGCCCTAGACCCACCTTTAAGTATAAAGATCGTCATATCTCGAATAGCTGAGTCAATCTAGAGATGTGTGTCCGTCAGTCCGTCCGTCTGTCCATTATAATTGTAAACACGATACAGGCCACAGTAATGGACCAGTCTTCACGAAATTTTGCATGTAGGTTGTGCTCTGGTCAATGAAGACCCCTATTGTGTTTGGAAACGATCGTTTAATATTTAGGGTATGAAATGGACCAAAAACTTTATTGTTGTCTGATATTCTGGTCGCTCCAGAGGCCACAATTATGGTCCAAATATCACGAATTTTTACATGAGGATCGGTTCAAGGGGATCGGTCCAAAGAATAAGCATGCCTGTTTTGATAAAGATCGGTCAATATTTAGAGGGTCAAATTGACCCTGACTTTTGTGTGAAAAATTAAAAATTTTGTATTCTATAGCGTATAGATTTACCCCTGAAGCACATAGACCCGAGAAGTTGATAGTATATCGAAGAGGAGTGGTTGACGTTTAAATCGATACCAATTATATTGTCGTATGTACCCGGATGTGGGAGTTACAGTAAACATTTACTGATGTTTACGTATTCATATATTATTTAGTAACCCATTACCACACTAGAGAGCCGAAATATAGCCCTGATCGCTTTGAAATTTTCCACGAGGATCCATGTATGGTCAAGGACAACGCTTATAATTTTCGGCGATGATCAGATAATAATTTTGGGATGAAGTGGACTGAAAACTTAATTTTTTCGAGTCGATCTACACAATTATAATCCGAACATAACAACACAACTCACGGTAAAGGGAATCTGGAATCTGGGCTGTTCTGAATATTGGAAATATTCGGAATTTATGTTAGTGTAAGAAAAAGGCGCTGTTGACCTCTAATCGGGCAAGAGGGTACAAATATCACGAAATATTGTTCAGGCTCGGAATAAACATCCGCAGAAAGTTAGAGTTCCGTGGTAGTTGTGTAGGGTATTCTATGGCCCCGTCCGACTATATTATATGATCGTATGTACTCAGATATGGGAGTTACACTTAAATATTTACAGGTACTTAGGTACTGAGATATTATTTAGTAACCCACACTAGAGGGCCTACATATAGTGCTGATCACTTTGACATTTTCCATGAGATTCCAGTTGTGGTCAAGGACAACGCCAATTATTTTCGATGATGATCAGATAATAATATTGGGACGAAGTGGACCAAAAACTTAATTTTTTGGTGTTTTCTTCGAGTCGATCTGTAGGCCACAATTATAGGCCGATCATCACAACACAACTCACGATTAAGGGAATCTGGACAAGTAATTAGAAGGGCTGTACTGTATATTAGTAATATTCGGAAAATAAGTCACTGTAAGGAAGAGGTGCTGTTGACCTTTAATCGGCAACTTTTTTTCAAGCCGTAGATTTAAAATGTTTTTAAAGCCGTAGATTATTTTTTTCCAAGCCGGGGATTAAATTTTTTTCAAGTTCAAAGATGGCGTAGATTTAAAAAAAAAAATGTTTTGTTTCCAAGGTGTAGATTTAAAAAAAAAAAATTCAAAGTATTTTTTCAAATTCCAAGATGGCGGAGATTTTTTAAAAATATTTTTCGAAGTTTCAATAAGCCGTAAATTTTTTTTTAAAAATATTTCTTTTTACTTTACACAAGATATAGATTTTATTGTAGTGGGTCTACAAAAAAAATTTTATAAATTCCAGCAGATAAGTAAATCTTGAACTTAACCTAAATGTTGAGTTATTCGAAATGACTGACTGACTATTGGTCTGACAGAAATTAATCAACTCCAACACATCTTAATCAAATCATTGTTCATGAAAAAAAAACTTATCCAAATAAATTAACGACGACTTACAAAAACAAAATGAAACATATCATTTGAAATATAGAAATGAGTCGAACTTAACGAAGAATAAAAAAAAAAACTCAAAACTGGAGCACAGCAATTTGTAATTGTGCCGTGTGAACAAAAGATATGAGAGGCCAAGTCTTTTGTTCCCATTCCAAAAAAACACAAAAAATCTGAAACAAATAGTGCTCTGATTTTGAAAAATATGATTTTGTAATGACTTTATTTAACGGAAAACAGCCACAATAATAACAACAATAGAATCATAAGCGTCATATTGAAGAAGGGAATACTTCGGGTCCCTCTGACACATTCCTCTCGACGACGGAGTGTGTTGGTGGGTACAGAGTTCAATTTTGTGTTTTTTTTTCATCTTCGGCTAATTTGTGTAATCTTGTAGTTGATTTTATTTATTTTTTTGGAGAGAGAGTCTGAAAACAAATTGGATAAAATTTGTAGAAATGAAATAAGACAATGCAGCATATTCAACAGCGAGCAATTTAAAGAGTTATGTCTCTTCGGATAATTACTGCCCTGCTTAGTTTTCTTTCATTCATTTTGAAAATTTGTAGATAAATCAAATAAACGCACGTCAAAGGATTACATAGATGGGCAAGATACAAACGCGCGCACACACACACAACCTTTATGACGACCGATAATGTGATTTGGAGAAGATCATTCTGCTGATAGCTATTCATTTACCTTTCATAGGTACCGTGGCAAGGGTTAATATTCCTAGCTTCAATGAAAAGGTTATTTGATTGTTAGCGCTAATTATGTTGTTGCTGGTGGTGGCGTAGGTAGGCAGTGTTGAAGGATGGAATCTAATGTCGGCAGCGTTTTAACTTGGAGGGTATTTCTTAAATGGCGCGTGTCGCTCATTTAAGAGTTGAACGTTTTTTTTTTCAAAATATCTCAAAACAATGTGGGCAAACTTAAATGATTTAGGCTGATTTAGACTATGGTAATATTAAATGGAAATAAAAACCGAATAGACTTCAGATTTTTTAAAATCATATCTTGGAAGTAGTTTTTTTTCAAAATTTAATAAATTAAAAAAAAAATATTAAAAATTCAAAGCCTTGCTTTAGCAATAAAAAAAAAAAAATATTTAAAACAAAATCTAAGCCTTGCTCTAGCATTAAAAAATATTTTTTAAGAAAACTACGCCATACCACAGCAATAAAACTATTTGTTTAAAGACTCTGCACCATCGAGCAATAAAATATTATTAAACCAGAAGGGAAAGTTCAAAAGTCGGACGGGCCGACTATATGACCCTTCACCACTTTGAGTACATGCAGGACATGTTAGTATCTACAATATCCTGTAGATAGAATAGACATAGAATCTTTGGAGGGCCATTGAGATGAAATCGGGGGAAATAAAATCTAGATAGATATTTGAACCAATTGAAAAAACCCCATACACATACCATTCTGAAATCAATGAAAATTTGCATGTTAAACGGACAGACGTGGAATCTTTTGGCGTACCATTTGTATGAAATCGAGTA